TGGGTGCCATGGTGCCCCCTGTAGCCCCTCAAACAGGGACAACACAGATGCTGTGGGGCTCCTACCCTCAGCAGGCAGGCCAGAAGCTGGGATCGATCCCAGGATGACAGTCCCACAGTGCAGGCAACTGTGATCCCCCTTCCCTTTGTGGTGCTCTGCCCCTCCATGGGAGCAGCCAGAGCCCATCTGGATGTGGAGGAGAGCGGCAGAGGGCACCTCTGCCAGCCTGTACCTGAGCATCGCCCTTCTTCAATGGGGAGTAACCCCAGCACTGACACATCCCCTTGAGGCATTGCAAGATGGAGGCTGGAGGATCTCCCCCACATACCTTGGCTCATGCACCCATCCCACCAGTGCAGGCAGCTCTAACTGATGAGTAGTTCCACCTGAACACCTCACACAGCTCATCCCACCGTGCCTCACACCACTCGCACACTAGTCTCTCCCCCTTTCCCAGTAATGATCGACAGCAACATGCAGGTTTCTCCTACATGCAGCACAAGCAGCCTGGGGTGCCTGTAAGATGTAGAAATAGACCTTCTGCAGCTGGGACACTCTGTTTGGTAATGGCAATTCCCACCACAACACTTGGCAGCCCAAGGGGCCCTGAAGTGCTTCCCAAGTGCTTTATAACCACGGAAATGGGAAAGTACTTTACCGCTACTGAAACGCAGCCACCTCTGGTGGGAGAGAAAGCAAAACCGGAATAACATCCTGAAAAGTGTTCAGGCTGGCAGAAAAGAGCACGCTGCCAATCTGCAGCAGCAGGGACAGCAATTGGCCAGTCACGCCTCCCAGCAAATGTCCCTGCTTGCAGTGGGATTCAGCTGTGAAAGTCCACACTTCTGGAAAAACTGCTCACAGGTCACACAGTGAGGAAAGGGCAGAACTTCAGCAATATGGGTTTAATGGGATTAAACTGGTGCCTTCACCATAGGAACCATGCAGGGTTTCACAAAGACCTGGGAAAAAGCCCTGCTTAAGGAAACCTCTGTCACTCTCTGCAACACCTTGAAGTCTCAAGTATTGATCCATCTTGGTTGGTGAGACCTGACATTATCACACCCAAAGCGAGAACATGGAAGAAGGCTATTTCCCTTCTTATACAAAAGACTTCATCCAGCAATCTCCAATGGAGCAACCTAAGAGAGGGGGGCAAGAACTCCAGCCTTGTGCAGATGCTGCTAAACTCACTAAGAGGCTTTCAGCTCTGCTCTGCCTCCCTAACTGCACACAGCACCACCCCTGAGCTCACCTCTGCTGCTGCAGGGGCTAGTGCCAACTGTAATGACACCACTCATGGCCGTGAAGTCCAAGCCTGGCCCCATCTCTTCATTCCTGAGCACACTGGGCTGGAGAGGTCTCTCATCCAGGGATCCCAAAAAGCTGAATGGGCTGCTGCTGCTAGAAAGCAGCAAGAGGGCACTTTCACTTTTGCACTAAAAGGGAAATTGAAGCAAGAACCAGAGGTCACAAGGCCAGTGGCAAGTCTAGGGACAGATCTGGGCCTCTTCTTTCTTCTAAGAAATCCCCTTGCTCTCTCCTCAGCCCGTGTCCCACATGCCAATCTTTCCTTTCCCGTACCTTGCCAAAGCCTGGTCTGACCCTGGCCAGTGGGATTTCTGACACTGCAATACAGCACAAATCTCCCACAGAGGCGTCTCTTCCGGAGGCAGGGAGCTTCCCTTCCCCAGCAGCCAGCCTGCAATGAGCAGAGCAGGCAGCACATACAGAGGGACCCTGGTGGCAACAGAAATGATAACACATCCTACTGGGGGTCCCAAGCATCAGCAGCACTGAGCCCCGCTCTTTGGAGCCACCATCTGAGAGCAAGAGCCAGTGACAGACACAGAGCCCAGGGAAGGCAGGTTGGGTGACGCTGGTCTGCAGGCAACAGGGAGAGGTGTGGGGCAGGTCTGCTTGACACCTCCAGCACCAACATGTGTGCCCCAGTCTTCCCAGTGCTACTCACCACTTCAGCAGCCTCATTGTCACAGGGTGAGAAAGGAACCCCAGGTAAGAGGAAAGGGAGCAAGGAGAGGAAATGGGGACACCCACAGGCAGAGATGGCTGAGCTGTGCCCTCACTGCTCAGGTCCACACTGCGGTTACAAGAGCCTGCCTGGATCCCTCTGGCTTTGCTTGGCTGCAGCACAGCTCTCTGCACTGGATGGCTATTACCCAGGCAGCTGAAGGTTTCCTCTCCCCCAGCTGCCTTCTGCATCAGTGGCAGCCCCAGCTATGGGGCTCTAAGGAGGCTGCTTGGCCAAAGAAGAAGCATGGGGAGGGTGAGAAGGGGGACCTCAGGGAGATGCAAGGCACACGCTAACCCTAGGGTGTCTGTGAGGTGAGAGGGCTGGCACAGTAACAGTGCCTTGTTTGGGGTGAGGGGTAACAGGGAACTGCAAACAGAGCACAAGGAATAAAGAAAAGCATTCAGCTCGCTCATTTGCCATGCTGGGGATGGGGGATCAGGAAGACAGATCTTTGGCCAGGTTGGTCTCAGAGAAGCAAATTCCACGTCCCAGTTGCTCCAGCCCCTCACATTCCACATGGTCCTGCTCAGGTGAAGGGAGATGCCGGCTGTCACCCTGCAGAGATGTAGACAAGCCCTGCTGTGGTTACCCACCTGGGGCAGGGAGCGCGATGCAGCCCAGGCTGGGTTCCAGGAACTGTGTTAGCAGGGCTCTAGTCCATGCATCAGTCCCCTCCTAGGACTATGCAGTATTGAGACACTGCAGCGCTTTTACAGGGTCATGCTAACCCCCGCTGTAAACTGTTTACAACCCAGTTTTGTTCTAGGCTTTTGAGGTAAAAAACATACACATTGGCCACACTGCTGAGGTTTCTGAGAGCTGATCAAGTGCCAGTGACGGGATACAACCACAGCAGAGATGGAGGAGGAGCCAGCTGCAGAGTCTAATCCCAGTAGGAACTGCAGCATCCCTGCTCTTCTCCTGGGCTGCAAAGGGCTCCTAGGAGCAAACAACCAGCTCCACAGCTTCCTCTTGCAGAAGCAGCTGAATAAGGTTGCCTCCTTGAGCTTTTAAGCAACCCTGGAGAGGACCAACACAGCAAACATGTAGATGAAAAAGCCGGGGAAAGGGAAACCCTTTCTGTCCCAGAACAGTGACACTGGGAGGAGAGCAAGCTCTGATATAAATGCCATCGTCATCTGCCCGCTGCAGTCTGATGGAACAAGGCGAAATGCTTGCCCTATTTCACTGCAAACAGGGTTTCCCTCCATCTGAGCCTCCCCCATTGCTCAGGCTTGAGCACTGTAGAGGGGTAAGTAAATCCGCTACTGCAGGTGCACCTAAATGTCTCTGCAGTGCTAGAGGGCAGAACTGGTCCAGCCGCGGCCTGCTCCCTTTGTGGGATCTCTGTGCTTCGGCTCACCATGTAGAACACATGGGACAACCTGACCAGGCTCCTGCTACAGCCTCCCCTCCCTCATACATAGCGTTTGCCTCTGATGTTGCCCCTGAGGTGAAAGGAAATGGAGTCCCATGCCTGCAGCTGTGGGTCTGGGGTACACGGGAACGGATGGAAGAGATGACTTAGGAGCAGCCATAAAGTGGAGATGTCCATAATGCAAAGGGCAGAGGCAGTAGATGGGGGGCCCCCACTGCTTACTTGCACTAAACTCCTTTGAGATTGGAAGAATCCTCTTCTCAAAAAAGCCTCGAGGGGACAAACCTGCCCAGCACCCCAGAAGCCAAACACATTGGGCAAAATACCTTCATTGCCCCCACAACCTTGACCCTGCCACTTTGAACATTAAACAACTCCAGAAATCCTTTAAGCTTTTCAAGCTTCTTCTGAAGCAGCCTGTCCTCGGCCCAATCTACCGTCCCCTGTTTAACAAGTGTTCCTGGGTCCTCACCTCCTGTGCCCCGCAGAGACCCACCTGAAACCTCCCAGAATGCTCAGCCTTCACTTTACGAGACACCCCAGATTCACAGGGTTAGGTGTCTTAGAGACAGCCCTCTACAGGGCTGAAGAAATGGTTCAGAACAGCCCCAGAGCAGCAGCCTGGAGGCCCAGGTAGCTCCTGAGTGCCAAGCTGTGGAAGCAGCTTCCAGGGGACTCCAGTGGGACTCCTCAGCAGCAGTTTCCATGGCTCTGCCCTGCCGATTTGCTTACATCATGCAACAAACTAATGAGCCCTGCTCCCTTTGATCTCAACTCCCCAGAACAAGGCAGGTGGGGAGGATCCAGTCATTCCTACAGACTGCCACCATCTTCCAAGGCCCTGGACAGACACTGGCAACTCCTGGTCAGGATGGTCCCAGCAAACCCTGCCATCACAACCCACATGCCTACAAGCCAAGATTCAGGAACTACCTGCCTAGACAAAAGAGGTGGCTCAGCCCCAGGCTGGCAGCATCACCAACTGCAGAGGAAAAGGAAAGGCTGAGCATCTCAATCCCAGAGCCAGGGAACCCTGCCAGCAGTCAGCTCCTGCAATAGAACCAAGGTCTCCGTTTTACACAGCAGCTTGGAGAAGGACTGGTTCCTTACATCAGATCTCAGCTGAGCAGCAGGACAAGGACTTTTTTTGCTTGTTCCCAGGCTGAAACGCTTGGCATTTCCTACCCTCCAAGGTGGAAATGCATTCCTGAGTGAGATTCAGCTCACCATCATTAAGTGTAGGTGTATGCATGTGATGCCAACAGGGAACAAGGACTCAGCCCACTCTGGTCAGCAGCTCTTGCTACTTGCCTTGCTGAGACAAGCTGAGCAGCACCTGAAGCCTGCCTGGCTCCTAGACATGGGTATCTTAGAGATGTCAAGATCTTGACATCACCTTCAAACAGGACAGACCACATTTCCCATTTTCCAGTCCCCAGATATCTCCCCTGGCTCCCTGGGCAAAGGAC